TTCATATTCGCGCGATTTTTTGCGCAGCTCATCAGTGAACAACGGCTCTGTGTAGTTAATGCTGCTCAATGCGAAAGCCCGCAGGTGATGGAGATTTACCGCTGATTACAGAACCGGCTTTCTGACAAGATGTGCTTTAAATATCACATGCGATTAATCGTGCAGCCCTAGTATAGGACATCACTGGAGACTCCGAGGTGAGTATAAGTGATCGCTGGAGACTCCGAGGTGAGTATAGGAGATCGCTGGAGACCCAGAGGTGAGTATAGGACATCGCAGGAGACCCAGAGGTGAGTATAGGAGATCGCAGGAGACCCAGAGGTGAGTATAGGACATCGCTGGAGACTTGAGGAAGGAGAGTATTAGAGATCCCTGGAGACACAGAAGTGAGTATAGGAGATCAGTGGAGACTTGAAATGGAACAGGTAAGAGATTGATGAAGGAAAAAACGGACGGACCTGTACTGTATTAGTAGAAAATCGTTCTAGCGTTTAATGCTGAGAAAAGACTTGACTGAACTAGGAAGGGCACATCCTCACGTAGGATGCTTCCTAATATAAATTGGTGCTTATTTTTAAGCACAAGTGCACAGTGCTCACTTTTTTCTGTGGATTAAATTACAGATGAAAAAAATAAATATCAATTTGTGTTATATTGTGATCTCACATAGCAGTGTATTTTAGTCTAGAATTCAGTGAAACACGCAGCAGTAGCGTCATCCTGCCAGTGAGTGGCGCTGTGACAAACATACTCCTCCCTCTCTCTCTCTCTCTCTCTCTCTCTCTCTCTCTCTCACACATCCGCCGCAAACATGGCAGACGAGTTGGATGTTGTTGACATCGAGGGAGATGAATGTGATGAAAGAGTCGGGTAGGAGATTATTCTCTCATTTCCCGCTGTCTGGAGAATATTATGTACTTCTGCTTTGATACATTTGAGTTCATGGATGAGCAGAAGTGAGACAGAAGCAATAGAAAAACGACTGACAGGATTAATATGAACTTCTCTAGTTATATGAACACAGTTACACTATTTTAACATCAGCTAGGAAACGAGTTTGTTATAACTGTGGCGCTTCAATTACTTGCTTCCAAGATACTTCAGTACAAAATTAAAAATGCTGACGATTATTAAAGAAACTAATGTAAACTAACCGTATATGTGCACCGTTATATTCCCTTTCTACTATTGTGTTGACTATGTAAATCCAGTAATTTTTGCATGGTTACTGGAAACGGACTGTTTGTTTACATAGAGTAAATAATGCATAGCTGCTTGCAACTAACTCTAAATCAAAGCCCTATTAAGTACATGTTGTTAATTAACATTACTCAGTACTTAAATGTACAGTTACACTTGTAACAGGGACACTGTAAAATGAACCGAAAAAATCACTACAGGAATTACAAATGTAGATATGTTAAATTTTCAGAAGTGCATCCAAGAACAGCAGTCCCACATGTAGAATAACACGTTTAGTAAAGAATCAAACACAAATATGTGCTTTTAAATCCTCTGTAATCACGTACTCAATAGTTGTCTTTTGTAAATTAATTGCTGTAAACACTTTTATATATAATTAATGTCTTTATTATTTGTCTGCTCTCTTAAAAGGGACCTGAACAGTGCTGAGATTCTCCAGGATCAATATTTACATTCTGCTTGGAAGACAAACAGCAGTATACTGGTAAAGTAAAATGGATTTTAAGGGTTAGCTCACCCTAAAATGATAACTGTCACTATACATAAAGATATGAAAATGGATATGATGTGTTGTTGTTATTGTGTGTGTTCAGCCGTGGACGCTGGACAGCTCCATCAGCGATGAGAACAGACAGGCCATTGAGGGCATGCTGCTGGAGGAACAGTATCCTTCACTCTTCTCACGTCACACTGATTAATTCTCATTTTGTTCATGTTTGGTTTTCACATCCCATAATGCACAATGGATGTGATCATTCATTAAAAGCATTGTTTTTCTTAAAAGAAAAGGTATTATTTTGCCAGTAAAAAAGCACCAAATGTAGCATGGACCAATGAGAAGACTAAAGTAAAAAAGTGAGCTTCCTTCTTTTATCACTTTGTGTTCATGAATATGTAAACTCCTACACAACCTTTCAAAAGTTTGGTGTATGTAAGATTTTTTTCAATACTAACAATCCAGCAAGAACACACAAAAATGATAGTAAAGACTTTAATGAATGAATGAATGATGCAATTATATAGCGCTTTATTGTATATTGTTGTACACTCAAAGCGCTTTACAATCATGTAACATTGCTACAGATGTTTTCTTTTTGAAAATTCCGTATTGCTGTCACAGGAATAAATTACAAATTAATATACATTTAAATCGAAAAATATTATTTTAAATTCTAATAATATTACACAATATATCTGGTTTGCAGTGTTTTTGATCAAATAGCCTTGGTGAACATAAGAAAAAAAAACAACATAAAAAAATATTACAGACCCCAAACTTTTCAATGTTTGTGTGTGTATATATATATATATATATATATATAAGTATAATAATTCATTCAGAATGTCTTTGTAGGACATTGGTGAAGAGTTCTGGAGCACAAACTTGTTGGGTTGAAGAGGAGAAAGATCTCTTTGAGAAAGGACTGGTATGTTTTCTGAACACAGAGAAAACAGTGCTCTCTCATATAAGGAATTAAATTGTATTTTGTTTTGTTTTTTATGGTTTCTAGGCTCAGTTTGGCCGTAGGTGGACAAAGATCGCCAAACTAATCGGCACTAGGACAGTTCTGCAGGTGAAGAGCTATGCTAGGCAGTACTTCAAAAATAAGGTATGACTTTAGTCCATTTCCACATTACCATATGAAAATCCATACGCTTTTGGTTCAGATGTGTGTAGTGCTTTAAAATTAATTCATATATAAGGTAGAGCCCGACCGCTATATCGTTTAGCCGATATATCGGCGAATATGCCGCCATTATTAAATTTGTTTTACAGAACATATAACGCAGATAAAATGCTTGAAATGGTGTAATTACTTAGTTTGTCCAGCGGAGCGTGCTCCATTGTTTGCTACTGAAAGTGAAAGTGAAAGTGACGTGACATGTGGCCAAGTATGGTGACCCATACTAGGAATTAGTGCTCTGCATTTATCCCATCCTAAGTGCACACACACAGCAGTGAACACACACACTGTGAACACACACCCACTGTGAACACACAGCCGGAGCAGTGGGCAGCCATTTATGCTGCGGCGCCCGGGGAGCAGTTGGGGGTTCGGTGCCTTGCTCAAGGGCACCTCAGTCGTGGTATTGAAGGTGGGAGAGAGCACTGTACATTCACTCCCCGCACCTACAATCCCTGCTGGTACGAGACTCGAACCCGCAACCTTTGGGTTACGAGTCAGACTCTCTAACCATTAGGCCACGACTTCCCCACTGGTGACCTGGATGAAACGCTTTAAAGCTTAAGTCTATAGAAAACCATTGAAACTTTGAACGGCCATATCTCCGTAAAGGCACGGCGAATCTGCACCAAATTCGGGGGATCCCTTCAGCTCGAGGAACCCTCTCGAACGCTAATCGAGTGTACGTCTAGAGGCCCGTTTTCAAATGAGACCACCCCCGAGTCGATAGCCCCCAGGTTTGGGAGTTACGGGTGGTTAAATTCGCGGTCCGGCGCCGACCGATCTGGTGATCCCGGGGAGCTACCGACGCGCGGTGTTTATGAAAACATATGAAAACATTAAAAAAATGTTTATGTATATATATTCTGTTTATGTATATAGTGTATTCTATATATAGTACCAGTCAAATGTTTGGACACACGAATGGGAAAGTGTCCAAACTTTTGACTGGTACTGTACTATAATATATACAAAGAATATTGGCTGAATTATCGATATAATAATACCCTAATATCGGTATCGGCCCCCAAAACCCATATCGGTCGGGCTCTAATATAAGGGAATAATTATAAATATAGACATCCAAGGGGGTATTTTTAAAATCTAAATTAAAAATTTTTTTTTTATTGGATTATGTATTAGAAAAATAGCGATTTATTGCAGCAAGCAGAAAATACGGTGTCTTTCTCTCATGTTAAGAACACGCTGCGGAGGTGCTTTCTCTTAACACCACAAAAACAGTTAACCTATCAAAATAAACCACGTAACATATATCATAAAGGCACATTTCCCGCCAGTCCTGTGTAAACTACGGCACGCAAAGTTTTTTGAATTAATTTATTTTTTAATATCGTGAGATGGCGGAGAGCAAGAAAACAACGCAGTCTGAAGCTGCTCACTTAGACGATCTTGCTCGTCTCAGTCTGCTCAATCTTGGTGATGTCAGTGCCCTAAACGATGTTATATGGACTATTTCACATCCAGAGATGAAGGATCGGATGATGGAGTTACTAAAGAGGAGGAGTCCGATGACAGTCTGTTATATGCACAGGTGCGCTGCACTCGCTTTTCTAAATGTAAACTACAAGGTACACTATTCGTGCTATCTAAACATACAAGGGGTGATCAAAAGTTCAGAGACTATGCGCATCATGATAAACAATGGAAAACTGTCCTCTTCAGGGTGACGTTAGTCTGTTTGTGTAATGATGCAGTATAGCGCTCTTGACAGACAGCGATCGTTAAGTAGAAGTAAAAGTGAAACCCGTCTCACTTTAAACCCGTTTTTCTCAAAATTCCATTCCTGAAAATCATAGCTATCAGCCAACTACAGATAGCCATAACTTTTGTTACGTTCAAGATAAAATAGACAAAATAAAAACAGTTTTGGAAAGGGCTTGAACCCAGCTTTCATATGGTATGAAAACCTAAAAAAGGAAAATTTCACCATGTGTTGGGTTTTCCTAGATCACTTTACATATATTGCCATCTTCTCTTCATTTGTTCATAATTTTGGGGGTCACTAATGAGCAGTTGACCACCTGAACTAATTTTGCATGTTATGATATTTTTGATCGTAATGATAATATATATTTTAAGATACATATTGTGGGTCTACCATTATTGCCTTCCTGTCACATGACAATAAAATGACTTCCTTCATGTTGGTTGTACCATTGTGACTTGACTGATTTGACTGAATTTGACAAAAATGATCAATTCTTGTTTTAGTGATAAATAATAAATTACATAGTAAAAAAAAAGTAATAATACTAATAAAAAAAATTACAATAGCATTCTAAAGTTTGGGGTTGGTAAGTTTTTTTTTTTTTTTTTTTAAATGGTTTTGGATGAAGTCTCTTCTGCTCACCAAATTTGCATTTATTTAATAAAAATACAGTAAAAACAGTAATATTGTTAAATATTATTACAATTTAAACGGTTTCTTATTTCAATATATTTCAAAATGTCTACGATGACAATTTTTAAAGAATTTTTAGCATCTATCATTCCAGTCTTCAGTGTCACATGATTCTTCAGAAATCGTTGTAAAAAAAAAAATCTGATTATTATCAATGTTAAAAACGGTTTTGCTGCTTAATATTTTTTGACAACTACTTTCTTTCAAAAAATCTGCCTGACCCCATACTATTGAGCAGTATAGCAGACTGTTTAATAAGATTTCCTGTTTTTCAACAAGCCTGATCAAAAATATCAATATGAATATTAATTCAGAAATATAAAACATGGTGATACCTCATTGTATGTACAAAATATGTTCTTAATATTTTTTCAACATTGTATTAAAATAAAATGAGCTTCTTTCAGTAAGCATCCCTTTATTTTTTTCCCTGTGTCTGAACTTTAGTCTAAAACAGACACACCTGCCAAAGTGCCCTCCTCTAATGTGACTTCAGACACCATGTTGGTCCCCTCGATCCAGCCTCATGTCTCAGCCCTGACCAATGCTGTGCGCATCGAGCAACTTTCTGATGATCAAGATGTTGACATCACTGATGACTTCAGTGACGATGGGCATCAGTCAGAAAACCAGCCAGAGCCCCCAGGCTCCCCAGAGTGCAAACACAAAGAAGAACTCAGTCCACTGCCACCTCCATCAGACGTACTTTTAAACCCTCTGTCAGAATCAGAAAGGACAGCTCAAGATGGACCCACTGATCCAGACACAAATGGAAACGCTGGCATTGTTACTCATATTGGGATTGATCCGGAACCTGAGGAGGAAAGTGGGACGTGCTTCTCTAAATCAGGCAGCCCAGGCAAACACAGCCTGTCTGAGGAGGAGAGCATTGAAAGAGCAGGTACATCACTAGCACTTAATTTAATCTCTGTAACTGTAGCAGACCATTAGCATTAGCAGAATTATGGGTAATGTGTTCTTGTACTCCAGATAAGACTGAATCAGGTGAAAGTCCTGAGGAGGAGATGGAGGAAGACCAGGAGGAGGAGGAGGAGGAGGAGGAGGAGGAGGAGCTCAGAGCTCCTGATCAGGAGGTTGTACTGGACCTAAACACCATCACAGAGGAGGAGAAGCAAGCCATCCCAGAATTCTTTGAGGGGCGTCCATCAAAAACATCAGAGAGATATCTAAAAATCCGCAATTACATCCTGGACCAGTGGTGAGATGTTGTTCTGTGCACTTCTGAGGAACGTTTTTAAGTTCATACATACATAGACTGTCATAGTTCACATACTACATATACTGAAAATAGTGTTTTTTTTTTTGTTTTTGTTTTTTTAAATAAAACAACAAAACCGTAAAAACGTCATAATATGGTTTAAATATGTTTGTTCTTTTTATACTTTTTAAATATTTTTTTTTTATATCAGAACAGTTGTGCTTACTGCTTGAAATATTTATGGAAACTGATTTTTTTTTTCAGGATCCTTTGATGAATATAATTTTTTTAACAATTTAAAATACTGTCATTTTTCATCAATTTAGAGCATCCTTGCTGAATGAAAGTATTAATTTCTTTCAAAATAAAAATCTTACTGACCATAAACTTTTGAACGGTAGTGTATACTTATTAAAAACTTGATCTTTTCTTGAAAATTAACTTCTCTCATGTCTCTTCAGGGGAAGAAGTAAACCCAAGTACCTTAACAAGACATCAGTGCGTCCAGGCTTGAAGAATTGTGGGGATGTCAACTGCATCGGTCGGATACACACCTACTTGGAGCTCACTGGAGCTATTAACTTCAACTGTGGTAATGCTTATTGCTCGGTCAGTTTCTTCTCTGTTTTCATGAGTACAGTTGCCCTCCCTAAACTCTCTTTCTCCCTTCCTCTGCAGATCAGGCTATCTATAACCGTCCACAGCTGGTTGATCGCTCTCGGCTAAAGGAAAACAAAGACAGGCTGGAGGCGTATCATCTTGCCCAGAGACTGCAGTCTATGGTGAGAAAGGGTTACAGCTCACTGTTACTGTTCTCATCATCATTATCTGTGGATGTTTGTCCATTACAACTGTTTTCATTTATCTGCTCATTTAATGATTCTTCTAATGTATTTGGTGGTGTTTGTGTGTGTGTGTGTGTGTGTGTGTGTGTGTGTGTGTGTGTGTGTGTGTGTGTGTTCCACGCAAACAGTATGAGGTATTGAATCAAAATCTGCAGTTCTTCTTAGAACTGAAATATAATCTACAGAGAACCACTCCAGGACAGATTGTTTTTATGACCTGATACAATTAGAATCTATTTTTAAGATTGACAAAAAATTTGTCGTGAAATGATTCTTGATTTCAATGGTTTATAAAACATCATGTGATTTGTGTGTGTGTGTGTGTGTGTGTGTGTGTTGATCAAAGACAAAATTAAAATCTTTACACTTAATAATAAATTTTTTAAAATGCTATAATAATATATGTATTTTGAATGCTTTTTCTTTTTAAGAAAATACTTTTTGTTTACACTTTCTCATAATTGAGCCCTGATTTGTGTGGGTTTTTGGTCATCCAGCATCTGAGCGCAGAGGAGCTGGCCATCAGAAGAGAGGAAATGAAGAAGAAAGGACCAAAACCATCTAAACTCCCCAAACAGAGAGGGTAAACACACGCTCACTAACAAAACTGAAACCTTTAACATCTAGATCTTTTGTTTAATGATCTTGTTTATAGGCTTTTGATTGACACATCTTGAATTCATTCCATGACTTTGTCCTCTGCAGCTCTCTGATTGATCCATTCCAGCTCATTCCATGCAAAGCTTTTGGAGAGGAAACAGAGGTAATTATTATTATTTTTTAATAACATCTTTGATCAGTCTTTTAATGTATAAAATTTGAAAAAAGTACAATTAATTCTAAAAATATCATAAAAAATAAATAAACACTATTAATCATGCCCCCTCACCCTTAAGACTGGAATACAGATTTTAAAACACTAGCCATCATACACACTTGTCGACTTTGTAAGTGGTTGCAGATAAAAAGTGGGTATCATCAGCTGGCTGGCTATGACTGAAGGCAACTAGTGTTGACTTCTCTAGATTGTAAATCAGGGCAAAAATCTAGGCAAAAGTCATGTAGTGTGTTCCAGCCGTCATGTAAATTCCAGAATTAGGAATTTTTGAATCATTGAAACAATTCAAGCGTGAAGTGCCACCTAAATGCTCGTTTTTGCCAGTTCTGCTGTAATTCCTCTTCATAATTTATGTTCATCAGGGTTATTATAGTTAACTAAAACTAAAATCATAAAAAAAAGAGTTACTTGAAATAAAATAAACATTTACTGCAACAAAATAAATGAAATAAACTTATTTCAGGTAGCTGACAATTTATTTTATTTCAAATTCTCATTTTCATTTAGTTTAATTTGATGTAGAGATGGGACGTTTGACACTGAGGCGCTGAAGCCTGTTTTACTCAGCAGACTGGTTCGAAAGACTCTGTCGAGGCTTGTATCAAATCTCCATGATCACGTGACCGATGACGCTTGAGCCTTCATACGTCACAATGAAACACCTGAAGCGAGGTGACTGATTTGAATCTTTGGCGCATTATAAGGAGTTGCGAAATGCTTGGTGTTCCCGCCCTGCTTCATAGTAACATAGTAACAACTTTCATGTGTGGACAATGATTCTCAGAATGAAGACACAGCTGCTATTGCTGAGTATTGCTTTCATGTTGAAACTGGAATCAACAAGATGCGTGAATCATTTGAAAGTGGCTGCTATAATTGCAGCCGACCACTAGATGTCACTGGTAGGGTCTGTCTTTGAGGCTTTGTGAAGCTTTGAAGCTTTTTTTGGTACAATCAGGAAAAGCCTCAAAAGCTTCACAAGGCTTCATCTGCCCATCTAATTTGATGTACTAAAAAACTAAAACTGAAAAAAATTATGCAAATTAAAAAAAAATTTTTTTGTTTTTTTAAAACATAAAAACTAAATTCCTAAAACTTTAAATAACTTTAAAATGAAAATAGGAAAATAGAAACTAATTCAAAATATTAATAATAAAATCTATAATAGTATCTCAGTCATAACTAGGGTGACCATATGTGCCATTTTTACAGGACACGTCTTGGCCATGATTTCTATAGTGCCTAAAATATCCAGGTTTTGTCTGTTTGCACTGCGCAGACCGATCATTGAATGACATCCACGAGAGCTATAGAGAGTGCTTTCGTATCGCTCTCGCGGTACTTTGATGTCATACAACGATTGATCTGCACAGCTCCGCTTCAAGCCGAACGAACACACCTCTAATATGTACGCATATTTGCATCACTTTGACCGTTCTCTGTAGAACCCACCTTCTAACGCACCACGATTGGTCGATCATGCACAATGCCTGCACATTATTGGTCAAACTACTTTTCGATCATTACCTTCAGCAAGTATGAAAACAGGAAAACAAAAACAAAACCTGGATATTTTAGGCAATATAGAAATCCTGGCCAGGACGTGTTCCATATAAATAGCATGTATGGGCCACCCTAGTGACAACACTGCAGTTTATTTTGTTGTATAGAAATTAATTTCATCAGACTTATTTTGTCTGTTGTGTCTTGTCTCAGGAACCATACAAAGTGATAGTTTGTGCTGAGGCTCTTGTTGTCATGGATATAGTAAGTATGACACAGTGTTGGTTTCCAGATTTGCATTTTCATTCATTCCTCAGTATTATGTTGTACTAATAATTGAATCCTTTCCCAGCATGCTCATGTATCCATGGGAGAGGTGATTGGCCTTTTAGGAGGAACATATGAAGATGAAGAGAAGGTGTTAAAGGTCAGTTCATTCATGGATTCATTCAACTGAGTCTGTTTTTTTCAATCAGTTTCGGACGGCTGTGACAATAAATGCTGTTGATTTGTTTGTCATTTTGCTGATGTTTGTGCAGATCTGTGCAGCAGAGCCATGCAACAGCTTGAGCACAGGTCTGCAGTGTGAGATGGACCCCGTCTCTCAGACTCAGGCCTTGGAGCTGCTCGGGGTCAAAGGTCACAGTGTGGTGGGTTGGTACCACTCTCATCCAGCCTTCGACCCCAACCCCTCCCTCAGAGACATTGACACTCAGGCCAAATACCAGGTAACACATCACTGTATTATATTGTAGTTGGAATAGGATGGTGTCTTTGGTTACGTGTCACATCCTCTCTGTCTGTTTCTATGGCAGAGTTATTTTTCTCGAGGAGGTGCTCCGTTCATCGGGATGATTGTCAGCCCGTATAACTCAAGTAACCCGTCTCCCCTGTCTCAGACCACCTGTCTGCTGGTCCAGGAGGAGACCGGACCCTCTGGACCTCAGAGTATGTCACAGAAGCACCTAGTGTAAATAATAAAATAGGCCCAGCTACAGCTGAATTTGAATCAGTTTGTTGTTTGTGTTTCAGGGTTTCCATTCCGATTTAACATCCAGTATTCATCTGAGCTTCCTGATTGGTCAGAAGTGATGAGAAGAGCAGAATGGGTGGTGTTCAAGTACAGGCTGTGTCATGGGTGAGCTGTGTGTTTTTGACTGTAAGAGGGAAGCAAGAATACATGAAAATATTACAAAGTTACAAAACACTGCATGTTATTCACATTTCCATAAACTAGCCTCAAATGACATTATATTAATATAAAATAAACACTACTTATTATTCAGAATATTTGAATGTAGAGTATTTCTAACATTGTTTATTAGTATTTGTATTAGTAGTATTTTACATTATTTCCAGCTTTAATAAAGCTTGCTACCATTTAGAGAAATTAAAGACCAAATAGCATTCAAAAGTTTGGGGTCAGTAAGATTTTTTTTTTTTGGAAAGACAAATAATTTTATTCTGCAAGGATGCATTAATTTGATCAAAAGTGACAGTAAAGAAATGTATAATGTAATAAAAGATTTATATTTCAAGTAAATGCTGTTCTTTTCAACTTTTTATTTATCAAATAATCCTAAAAAAAGTATGACGGTTGCCACACAAATATTTTGCAGCACAACTGTTTTCAACATTGAAAATAGTAAGAAATCATCTTGATCAGCATATTAGTATGATGTCTGAAGGATCATGTGACACTGAAGGCTGGAGTAATGATGCTGACAATTCAGTTTTGCCATCACAGGAAGAATAGATTGCATTTAAAAATATATTAAAATTTTAAAGTGAAAATTTTAAATTATAATAATAATATTTCACTATGCTTTAAAATACATTATTAATTTTTACAATGAAGAAAATTTGCCATGTTAAAAACATCATCCAGCAATGCTGTTCACTTTTCTCAGTCACAGGCAGCTGGGTGTAGTGAGACCTAATATGAATATTAGAAATGATGTGCAGTTTTGTATATTGGGCTGACAAATGGCAATAATATTTAATTCCTCTTTCAGGAGTGTACCAATGGACAGGCTCTTCCGCAGACACTCTTCTCTAACTTGCCTGGAAAAGGTAATACGTCTCATCTAGACTTCACATCACACCCACAGACCGCCCAGATATTGCACATAAAAATTGCAAAAGATTTCGGACAAGCTGGCTAATCTGATTGCATGACTACCTAGAAACAAGGTTCTCACACTGCTGTCAAAAGCACTTCTGAGTACACTAGAGGATGGCATGGCCTACATGAACTGAGCAAATCTCTGAAAGATATTCAGTGTTTTCTTTGAGGTAATTGGTAGGATATCCACAAAAACTCATTCTAATGGTTCACGGTGAATTTAAATGCATTTATTTGACATGTTAGTCGAATGAGTTCTGCTAAATAATTACGTTTTTTTTTCATTATAATTAACTATTATTTGTTTTGTCTGTCTGTAGATGCTTACATCAATCCGGAAGACTTTGGAGCAGGTCTCAGAGATTGACTTAGAGACTTTCCTGGTACAGATAGAAACCTTGTTTACTACACATTTTCTCCCTGAGACTGGCTCTTCCTCCTGTCATCTTCATGAAACAGTAACACAGCCTCAGTTACTGTCATTCATCTCCTCTGAGCCAATCAACAGCAGCCATGCCACGGATGAGACGTGTGTTACTGAGTATGACAGCCCAGATGAACTGTCAGATGAACTGTACTAAAAGACCTGTCGACCATGTTAAAAGCTGTAATGAAAAAGAGGATGCACCTGTTACACAGTCTATCAACCCTACTACCCTGTAAATAATAACAATAAACCTAACAATCTGAAGGTAAAAACATACTATAAAGAAACCTGCTACTGCGGAGGACGTGTATCATTCATGCATTGTACAAAATTGTGTAACATTGCATTCATGTAGATTTTTATTATAAGTTTTATAATATAGTTTTCATAAAAGTTGAGTTTAACCACAAAGCTCTATTTAAAATTAAAGTTTAAACGTAATACTTGTTTTTTTTTGTAGTTTGATGACATTTTGTCATTCAATTTGATCAGTGTTCAAGAAAGTGTTTGTGACCATTTATAAATAAAAGTATTCTGAAAAAGATTCACTGAAATTGGAGTAACACAATTTGAGTAAAAACGAAATGTTAACTCTGGCAAAAGCTGTCCTTTTTACTGTTTAATTTCGATCACGTTAGCATTTCATAATATCAATTGCATATAAACACAAGATATACAATTTAGGGTTTTACACAAGATGTCAAACTCTGAACAGACACAATGAAGTGTAGAATGAACGAAGCCACGTATAATTGCGTATTTTCTACTGAAAGCGAGTAAAAAGACTGGAAGGTTTAATGAAAGTTACTGTAGTGTTAGAATAAGTGAATTATTGTGACCGCCGGTAATTGAAAGGCGGAACCACAGTGAAGTGTTGCCGTTGGCAGGGGGAGTGTTTTAACTGTAGCAGAGAGAGTTACAGTGAAGAACTTCTCGAAACAGACGGATAAACTTTTTAAATAATTAATGTCTGTAATTAAGGAGTTGTAGCAATGAAAGTCTAGCAACGCTGAAAGTTTTAGCGATCAGGCTAAGTGTAATCACACTTGCCATAATATGTGGACTTTTATAGACTTCCTACTTTGCTGACAGTGACATTAATATGTGAATTTTAAATGCATAATGTGCCCATATAGCCTACAAACTATGACTTAGCTTATCATTGTAATTATTACGCAAACAAGGGTAAAGTTGAACGTTCAGTGTATTTTATAATAACAATGGAGCAGATTTGTCTTCGCCTGGTCAAACTCGACATGTTGTCCAGAATAAGGTCATTAAACCGGGTTGATTCTGTGGTCAGATGGTGTGGACAGAGACAGCGTCCGTCACTCTTCGCCTCTGCTCGGACTGATCTCAGGACAAACTCATCTACCTCTCTGAAACCAAGAGGATCTGTCACAGTTTCTCCTTCATTTCTCTGTTTGAGATCAAGACTCAGCATCTGTATAACAGCATTCAGACCTCCAGTTCATCCGTTCATCATTCAGTCCACGCGGGAGATTCACACCTCGGGCAGACTGAGAGCTTTACCTGCACCCTTGATATGGATGGTGCTGAAGCCACTGCAGAAGCTCATGGCCATCATACTGGGCAGGTGAGGTTTCTTTTAAACAAATACTTAATAACCTTTATAAGAATGACATACCTCCCCATCTTCAGCCATCAGCCTTTGTCAAGAACAGATGAAGCTGGTGAATCAGTGAACAGCTCTAGGTTTTAACTAGCAAGAGTGATGCACCAATAATTATGGCCAATGCTGATGCCCATGATATGATACAATACATTGCCTGGGCAAAAAAATGAATAAAAAAAAGCAAACAGTCAAGAGTATAGGATTGGATCTTTATTGCAGTGATTAATATGTTTCTGACTTATGTGTTTTGCAACCATTCTTTTAATCCTGATTGTGTAGTTTTTATTTCTTAACTATGTTGGAAGACATACCTATGTACATATTTCAGCATGACAATGTCAAGATTAATTGGACCCAAATTGTGCAGTAGTGACTTGGGCATCATGAGGACTAAGTCCTGAGCTTAACCCTATTAGAAGTCTTCAGGATGTGCTGGAAACTTTACAGAGTGGTGCCACTCTCGATGGAAATAAATGTTATGATGTTGCATAACATTGTTGAAACAATGTAATCAAAGTGAAAGGTGGTCCGAAATATTGGAGTGTGCAACTTTTTTTGGGCAGGCAGTGTAAAGTCGACTCCAGCACATCCCAAAGACATTTCAATCTTTCATAATTTGAGCCTGATGAATCGTTGCATTGTCCTCCTGGAATATGAACATGGGTACATTTTCTAATGTGTTTGTTTAAGAAATAAAATCTACGCACTGCATCAGTTAAGAGCTAAAAGTGTTGTTGCTAAATTTGGCTTTATTTATATACATATATACAATGGTTGATAATGAATAGGATGGCCAATATTTAAATCTATACAATTTTTTAATATAAAATTTGTCAGATAAATGAATATATTCTTTGTAGATAAATATTTTTTTCATAATATTGTTAGTTATGGTCAGTGATTGATATACAGTAGTAGCAATATTTTAAATCCATTCAGTAGTTTTTTCCCAATCCCCAATTATTAGCTGATACTAATATGTTTACATAACTTACACAATTTATCTATATCCTTTTTTCTAAATATATTTGAAACTGTATTTACACTAAATCAATTAGAATTTTACGGTGAAATCAGAATTTAAAATTAGCGGTGGCAGAAACGAACCTTTTCGAAGCTTCGAATCTACTGAACAAACATGACTCACTGTTTCGAAGCATTCGATACACCACACGCTAGTGATGCCTGCTGGTCAAAACTGCATATCTGCAACAAAAACTCAGTCCAAAAAAATAATAGATGCATAAAAACAGTTTTTACGAACCCATTGCAAATGTTTTATTGAAATTGCAATTAGCATATATATTCTTCAAATATGAGGACGATATACAAACCACTGAAACATTTCGAAACAGTTGTGAAGTAACGAAGCCCCGGTAACTGAAATCGCATGTCTTGGGCCGTTTGATATGTGCTCGTGGTTCATTAGTGGTTCGATACAAATGATTCGCTAATGTTTCGAAGCTTTAAGAAGCTTTGCTTCGAAGCATTCATTCAAAGCATTCATCAACTAGTTAAATACATGTTAATGTATTATATACATATAGCAGTAACATTGTAAAACTCTTTATTGTCATTTTTGATCCTTTTAATGCATTCTTGCTGAATAAAAGTTTTTTTTTTTTTTTCCAAATAAAGAAAAGAAAAAAAAAATAGTGAACATGCACATTTAAGGAATGTATAATCCAGAACAGTTTACAAAATGCTTTAGCTTCACTTAACCTGCAGAAAATCCACCAAATGTTCTGCAGGTTATGTGAAACCAAAGCAGAAATCTACCAAAGTCCTTGGCTTGTACTGTCTCCAAGCACTTATTTATACTGTGGTTACTTAAATGGGGAGCATATGGCAGGTCATGACACCAAAGTTCTTGTTTTTGTGTGAGGGTGAGGCAGTGAGCTAAGGTTTAATAATGATAAAAATTCTGATTTAATGTGTATCTCTCTCTCTGTCTCTAGGAGTATTAGAAAATGGTGGTTGGCTCTGCCACCCAATAGAAAGCAGCTGTTTCGTGAATGGACATGGCGTCGACGCTGGCACTTTGTGGGAGCTGGGGCAGGACTGCTGTTCTTTGTCTGCCTCTTTTTATTCACTCATCTGGATGAATCTCCAGTGACAGGCAGGACCCGACTGCTGGTGTTCAGCAGGGAGAACTTCATGGAACTGGCTCAGGTCACTGCGGAAGCGGTACGACTTCAGTCGAGCAGTTTTTAGTCATGTCCACACAACTGGTTTAGTCTGTTTTCAGTTATTTATTTTTTTGTGGTTGCAACCAGTTCATTTCATATGAATTTATGATCAATAACAATATTTCAAGAACAACATGCCTCAAGCTGGTCCAAAATGATTTGTGTGAATTAGATTTTTTTGTGTGCAATTGGATATTATGAAAATGAAATGTGGTGTTTCATTTCACAAATCATTTAATTGAATTCCATTTGATTTCATGGACTCTTGCTCCTCTTTCTCCTTCGTTCTCTCTCTCAGTATATGGAGGAGTTTAAGGATTCTCTGATCGCTCGATCGGATCCCAGGCATCAGGCGGTGGAGTTAGTGGTTCGGATTCTGGCCGAGAGAAACCGGGACATTGCTGAGATTTCCTCTGTCCCCTGGACGGTCCATGTGGTGGACGGTCCTACAATCAATGCGTTTGTTTTGCCTGTGAGTCATATCTGGTAACAACCAAAGGATTTCTCTAATAAATAAACCAAATCTATACATTTTTTGGCAATTTTAAGAAGCAACTCTGACTGCAAAGAAATCGTCAGTCTTAGAGTTTGCTTATTATTTAGATGACTTGCTTCTTCATTATCCAACCTATTGTACTGTATGTTGAACCTTATATACATGCACAAATAAAGAAAATACACAGTATGAAGCACTGATACAGTATTTTCAGGAAAAGTAATACTACATATACTCAATATACACAACTGTTCAAATGTTTGGGGTCAGTAAGATTTTGAAAAATATATATTTATTTAGCAATGACAAAATAAACTTAATTGAAACTAAACTGACGTGACAGTAAAGACATTTCTTATGTTACAACATATTTATATTCCAAAAAAATGCTGCTCTTTAAATTAAAAAGGTATGACAATTTACATGAAAATATTAAGTAGGGCTGTGCAATTAATCGCATGCGACTGTCAAGCGCATCTCGTCAGTAAAGCCGGTTCCGTGATTGGTAGTAAATCTCCATCACCTGCTTTCAGATGGAGCGGCATTTAGTCACGGAACCGGCTTTACTGACGAGATGCGCTTGACAATCGCATGCGATTAATTGCACAGGCCTAATATTAAGCAACACAACCGTTTTAAACAGTGATAAGAAGAAATGTTTCTTGAACAGCAAACACCAGAATGTTATTATGATTTCTAAAAGATCATGTGACACTAAAGACTAGTAATGATTACTGAAAATTCAGCTTTGCCAACACAGAAATAAATTGGATTTTAAAATATAATAAAATAGAACATAGCTATTTCTATTTAATTTCTATTTACTAGTAATTAGTAATTGTAATAATATTTTACAATCAATTTCTGTTTTTACTCTGTTTGATCAAATAAATGCAGCCTTTGTTAGCATAAGACTTGAACAGTAGTATGTTTATGTCCCTATTTCATTGTAGTATGTATATGTGTATATATATATATATATATATATATATAT